TTTATCTTCAACAAGTTTTCCTGCCTTCATGATATCTTCCACAAGACCATTAATGATAGCAGCAGTAGCACACTGCTGCTATCATTAATGGTCTTCTAAAACTTTCGATGACACACCAAATCTGACAGAGGCATGGGCAGCATTACTAATATCAAGGTAATTTTGTTTAAGATAATTTTCTTGTTTTTCTAATGTTGAGTCTTCTTCGCTTTCACTGACTTTATCGCTATCACTGACCATATCAACATTAAAATTATTATTCAATTCTGCTGCAACACTCATATTTTTAGCATCAAATCTAATAGCAGATTAATAAAATGTTCTTGACATCTCTGACTTTCTCGTTGTTGATTGACCCTCGCTTAATTAGTTGACTTACGAAAGTTTTTGAACCTAAACTTTTTAGTTCCTTTAACATCTAGAAGAAACTCTTGCATAGATGAAACACTACCTTGTTTTTCTTGCTGGGTTTTAATCCGAACAAGCTCTTTTTGTGCAATTCTTAAATTTAAGTCACGTTTGCATAGACGATGATCACGATTTTCACAAGATTCTTTGCAAGGGGCATCAATCTCACCGCAGTAAACAATTTTGCATTTGCAAAAAGCGATGTCTAAAAGTTTATCAAGTTTAGATTCCCAGTATTCTTTATTAGCCTTTTGGGCTTTGTGTCGAGCTATCTTAGAGAATGCAGACCAACCTCTACTGAGTCTCAGTTCTATAACTTTAGTACCACAAACTATAGGCTCTTTATACTCTGTGTTTGAAATAAACCATCGTTCTGCAATTTCATGGGTAACATAAAAAATTTCTTGCATTGATAAATTACGTGGATTTTTTTCATGAACTAGTGTTTTTTCTCTTTGTAGATCAAGACATGCAAACAATCACGTTATGTTGGAAAATCGGTTTTAAGAAACTTTCTTGGACCTCCAAGATATTCACTAAGCTTAGTGTTGATAGATTTTTTGGTTTTTGCCATTTTTTTATTTTAAATATATTATGAATCTGAAAAACAAATTAGCAGGAATAATAACAATTAATTTGAAAATAAGTCAATAATAGCTATCATCATATTTATAAGGTATATTTGAATTTTAACTACCACTTATACAAAAATTAATAGTTTGAAAAACAAATAACATCTTACCATAGTAGAATATTTTTAAGTAAATAAAGCATAGGATTATTCAATATTATAAATAGTTATTATGTACATTTGTAACATAAATAGACAACATTTAGGTTAAAAACACAATATTTTCAGACAAGAAAAACCTTTTCCCGGTAGCAATAGCTATTTTTTCACTAAAAAAAGTAATACCATTCAACTTAGATTTTTTAAATACATAAGAAAAGTACTGAATCAAAACTAGAACATGCATGAGTATGATTTACCCTAATATAGACGTTAAATGTCGCTCCACTGTATTTTCTAACTTTAACAACAGTTTTTAGTTATAGTACATGGCTGATGATTGCTGTATAGGCATGAAACTTAAAGTTCCATGAAAAGTTAATTTTGCCCTTTGTAAATAATCCAAAATTAAATATATATAATCTTTTTAAATTTGGTATTGATTATCGCGGACCATTCTTTTGGAATAAAATAGTTTTAAAAAATTTTACCGAGGATTTTTTCTTCAAAATAACTTTTTTTTTTTTTAAAGAAAGCCTAAAGAAAAAACTCATTTTTGCAATCGAAGTTTTAACAATATACTTTTGATATTTTTTAAGTGATCTTCCTTTTAACCCTCATATTTAAACATTATATATGTATATTATATTAACAACTGTAATATGTAATATTGTATCTTGTATTTGAAACAGAATATTTTAAGTTTCTTACTTTGTTACTTATTTTTTATTTGGAAATATTGGAAATTTTTACAAGAACATTTTTTAGCGGTACTCCATGACAAGACTGTATGATCTTCTACGAGTCCCTGCGTTCTTTTATTATTTTATAACGAGCGTATATATATACTCTTTTATAATTATTTATTTGTATTTTAAATATTGTAACAAAATGCTTTTTTAAAATGTATTAAAAGAACAATATATATATATATATATATATATATATATATATATATATATATATATATATATATATATATATATATATATATATATATATATATATATATATATATAAATATATATATATATATATATATATATATATATATCATACATATATATATATATATATATATATATATATATATATATATATATATATATATATATATATATATATATATATATATATATATATTTATATATATATATATATATATATATATATATATATATATATATATATATATATATATATAGTATATATATATATATATATATATATATATATATATATATATATATATATATATATATATATATATATATATATATATATATATATATATATATATATATATATATATATATATATATATATATTATATATATATATATATATATATATATATATATATATATATATATATATATATATATATATATATATATATATATATATATATATACATATATACGCGAGAAAATACGAAATTAGGAAGACTTAAATTATTTGTAATTAGATACACAACAAGACATTAGTCTGTTTTTTGGATCAAAACTAAATATTTTTGTAGATATTATTAAAAAGACTACGACCACTGGCAATTCTTTGTACACCCAGTACCAGAACAAGTAAATTTGGAGTACAAAACTCAACTTTCATAAAATGTTCTAGGTATGGAACCATCTGACTAGGCAGTTAAATCAGCTCTTAGAGAATTAATCAAAAGTTTCTTTGGTAACTGCAATTAGGTTTACACTGTATGTAAATAGTTTACAGAAACAACAAGTGATACCCAGCAAGTTGTTGATGAAGTTCAAAAAGCAGACAGGTTTATTTACAGAACGTTGTAGAACTAATCTGAGAACTTATCTAAAAAAAGGAATAATTTCCTTGTACAACTCTTTGACTGTTGCCAGTTAGGATATCTTCTATCCAGCTGCAGACACTTGTTTCAAAGCCAAGTAAACTAAACACGCATATTGTTTAAAAGTTTTAGCAAAATTCAGAAGAATTATGACAGAAAGTTTCAGTACAAAAAGTTTTGAACTGCAACCTTTCTTAGAATGGCATGTTTGCACTAGCTTTCAACAAGGAGGAATAAAAAGAGTAGTGAATAAAAAGAGTAAAATGTAGATTAGCAAATAGAGCAAGACTTATGATGATTGAGTTTCTAAGTTGTTTTGTACATTTGATTTATAACTGCATTTTAAAAAAAGGGGAAGGTTATTTGATCTGTTTAATTTTAATTTTCTAAATTTGGTATTTATTAAAGTAGTTGGTAGTATTTAGCATTTTATATTAGCTATCGTAGTATAACATAAAAAACATTGGCTTGTGATGCATGATCCTCATAGAACATTTTTGTATGGATTGCTATCAAGTTGATTGTGTTCAATCATATGCTTGAACATAAACTGGCAAATGTTACATCACCAACAGGAAACAGTTGTTCAAGGCAATGGATGGTTTTTAGCTGGCTATCTACTAAACCATTTTTTTAAAACGGGGTTGACAGCTTGCTTTCAACAAACAAGAATAAGATCTATGTTTTTATATTTTGGCACATTTTTGAGATCTTAAAAATACTTTTGCAGTCTTTTGTTTCCTTAAATTAATCATAGAAAAGTTAAGGGTCATATTTATCCTTCTTTATAATGATCGGCTGTGTGTGAAGTGTGCTATTGGTTTGAGTTGTAATATTGGTCATGAGTTCAGTTATTTATTTTCATGACACATGAAAAAATTGAGGTTTAAAAAAGAAAATTCATTCTAGCCCATGTGCTGTATTTACGTTTCCCACTTTAACTTTATGATATGTTGTTGGTATTGACCATAATTGGCTGGTATCTTATGCCACTTAAGAGTTATATTTAATATTATCAATCTGTCTACAATACGACTTTCTACTTAAGTGTTTTAATTATCATAATCACGCATTATCCATATACATAACATCTCATAAAGTTAGAGTGGCCCGAACAAATATCTACCTTCCTTTTGCTAGCATTATAGTAAATTTTCTTGCCAGTATTTCTCAAATTCGTTTCATTGACATTCAAGAGATAAACATTGGTTCAACAAGTGTTGTGTTGTTTATAACCTAACAAACTTATTGTTAATACTCCAACAATTGTTACTGAAAAGCAAAATTAATAAGATTGACTAAAATCCTTGTACTAAAATGCTTTGCAATATCTTCTTCAAAGCAAAATCTTAATGGTTTGCAAAAGAATCTTTTCTTAGAATTTCTTGAAACTAAAGTTTTTTTTTTTATTTTAATTTTTATGAACAGGTTAAAATCAAAGTTTTATTACAGTCAATAAAGCAAAAAGATGAAAAAAAGAAACAAAATACATTTTTCTACTTCAATTAATATGTTTTTTGTTGCTGCTAATTTCAAACGTTTTGTAATAATAATGATTATTAATAAATAATAATTTTAAATAGTTTCTAGTTTTAATAGTAATAAAATTAAAATAGTTAAATATAAATAAAAATTTTAAAATAGATAAAAACATTTTTTCTTTAATCAATTTGTTTTTTAATGTTGCTAATATTATACAGTTTCTACTACTAATAACTAATAATTTAAACAGTTTCTTGTTAAAATAATAACTTTAAAATGTATCATAATTTAAAAATAGAAAAAATATATTATTTGAAATAAAAAAAATATTTTGAAACTAACAGAACAAACTTGGTCATCTGAGGGATGTAATACCACTAACTCAACATCATCAAAAACCTATTGTCAGTGTAATCATCTTACAAATTTTGCGCTGATGTTAGATGTTTATCAGTCAGGAAACAACCCTGTTATTCTTAGCATTCTTTCACGAATTGGTTGTATAATATCGATTGCTGGATTATTTATTACAATTATATGCTATGCAGCTGTTCCGTAAGTTTTGATTTGTTTTTAAGTAACCCTGCCATCGAAGTGAATTATTTATACAGTTTTATTTACTCGCTAATATTTACTATATTTCTAGATTAATTATATTGTACAGTTTAAAACTAAAGAAACAATACAAAAGTTTTCTATTTTTTTATATTACATACTATGTATAGTTATACTATGTATTAATTAAACTAAACTATGATAGCTTAGTTTAATTAATACATAGTATAACTATTAAATTTTAATATATATGTGGAATAAAGTAATTGCAATTAAAAATGATTTAGTAAATTTTCACTAAGTTAAAAAATGCTAAATATGGGTGTGTTAAAGGTAAATGTAGTATTTAAGTTTCTGTAGATGTGTAGAACGATGTTTTAGTGGTAATACTGTGATGATGAAGTTTTTTTGTCATTTTGAATAAGGTTGTGTAAAATGAGTTTGTTGAACAAACTAATTTTACACAATGTTGTCTTCAATTATAGAAGTATCAAATAAAAAGAATTTCAGAGTTATAAAATCAATCATTTTTGAAAAAAAAGTCTAGAGTTCCTGGACTGAGTTCATTGGTAATAAGGGTGGCAAGAGTGGTTTTCATAAGTGAAATATTATTAACAATAATAATATTCTTAAAGCCATTTTAGATTATTTTAAATATTTTCTTGGGATTAAAAGTGATTATAATAATTCTTTTCAAGGCCATCTAAATAACTAAGCAATGAAACTCAGCAGATCTAGTCCGCCATTATGTAAATCTAGAAATTTTGCTAAATATATATCATGCTACTTTTGGGACCTATCTAAGATATGCATTTCAAGTATGGGAACAAAATTATAAACAAATCATTTTAAGGTTGTGGGCAATCCCATAAACAAAACATTTTTAAAATTGTCCCATCTCCATAATAAAGCCTTGAAAATAATATATTTTCAGTATAATAACTTTAAATCTAATGTGCTATACTTAATCTCTAATATAATAAATTTAAGCAACCTTGTGGTATTCCTTAACTGCCAATGTCTGGAATTATTATTACAAAAATATCATTCAACAATTTCTTTAAAAGAACCAACTGTCACTGTCCTCTTCGCTTCATCAGTAGCTTAAACTTAGTTACTCTGCTAAATATGGAAACAAATCCATTAAATATCAGTGTATTAGCTCATGGAACAAACTACCTGGCGTAAAATCTCATAATCAATTTCTGAACTCAAAATCAAGCTTTTTAATTTTTTGTTAAAAAAATACAACTAAATACTTCCACATATTAATATTGAGATTCTTTATTATATCTATCAATTCGTGATACTTTAATTTTTAGTTTGATACTTTTAACAATTTAAAATTCTCTCCTTATCCATATACATTTAATTCCTCTGGTTTTGTATCTGCTTTTTTTAATTATTTTCATTAAATTTTTCATTCTAATATTATAAAGATAAGTACTAAAAATTTGACATTCTTTTATTACCAATATTTTGACATAATTTGTATATCTATTTAATTATCTCTTTTCATTCAATTCTCTACTTCGTACTAAATATTTGTTGTTGCTGTCATTATTTAATTTTATATTTGTTTTGTTTTGATTTGATTTCTTGAAATAGTTTTTTTACACTACTTTTTTTGAAAACTTTTTACACTTAATAATTTATAATTAATTAATTTTCTCGATTGAGTTACCACATTTACTTTATAAATATTTGTATAAATGTTACAATAGTCTAGAGAACAGTTTTTTTCAATGCTTGCTTTAACTTTCTTAATTAGTAATTCAAATTTAAAAGTTTTTTCTTTTAATTTAAATAGTTTAAGATCAATTAATCAAGTTTATATTTTGTCATAGTTCCATTATATTTTGAGTTCAGAATGAATATTCCAATCATGTAACACAAAAAAAAAATTATCAAAGCAATCAAAGCGGACAAAGATAGGCTTCATTCCGACAAGCCTAAGGACTTACTTTTTCTGAAGGATCAAATGGGAGAAATAAAAATGACGCTTGGGACTATTGACAAGCGTAGAGCTGAGATAGAACAGAAGAGAAATAGCAGGATTCAAAGTAAAGTTATAGCATTAACAGGTTTTTACCAAAAATCATTTGTTCCGTCTAGAGGTTTTAAAGTGTGCTCTATTGATTGTGTACATCTACCTAAAACAGTTTCTTCAGAACCAAGTTCAGATTCTGAATCATAAAATAATTACATGGACTGTTCAATAAGAAGTTTTAAAAATCAAGAATAAACCATTGTTATCAACCTAGAAGTTATTAAAGAAACTATGAGAACAGCTATAGTCATGGATATAACAGCTTATAAAATTACAGCAACCCTGATAAAGCTTGTCACCGCAGCTGGAGGTGATCCAAACTAGTTGCCCCTTTTTTATACTTCAGCTTTTTAAATAAAAAACAATATTATTAACAAAGATGCTGAAAATATTAAGATTTTGATAAAAAAAGAGATCGAACAAGGTAAGGTAAAAATTCAGCTACACTTTGATGGAAAGTTAATCAAGGTTTGCATATATTTAATTTTAACTGGTGTTTTAATTGAGAGCAACTGTTTTTCTTACATTGTTAATCTAATCCTAGTTGTAGGACTTGATATCAAATCACGGTGATGTAGCAACTGATAGGATTTGTGTTCTTGTGAGAGCCGGAGGTACTGATCATCTACTTGGCGCTCCAAGAGTTCATTCTGGTACAGGGCTAAATCAGTTCAAGGTTATTAAAGAAATTTTTAAAGAGTTTGAAATTGTTGATCACGTAAGGTTGGTCTGCTTTGATACTACTGCTATCAATACTGGAATGATTCATGGTGCTATATACAGGTGAACTCTTTTTCAATGTAATTTAAAAAAAGAACTGCGAAACGATGTTGGTAAACCATTGTTGATGCTTGCTTGTAGACATAATGTTTTAGAAGTCATATTAAAACATTATTGGTTAGCAGTTACAATAGAAAAAACCTCAGGACCTGACAACGCATTCTTTAAAGGCTTAAAAAGAAGTGGAATGATATTGATGTGAAAAACTGTTTCATCACTTACTTCATATGGCAATCGATTTATGATTCTTGGTTTAATGAACAAGCAGAAAAAGCAAGAAAATTTTTAATGACGATTGTGAATGAAGGGGTCTTCAAAAACGCTCAGGTATACTTTTCTAAACATTTAAATCTTCAAGTTTGAATACAAAAAAATAATGGGTGAAGTTAAATATCCGCATTAAACTTTTTTAGAGACACAAGAAGAGAGCAGACTACCAGGAACTGCTGAGCTAGCTCTCATGTTCTTGGAACCGACATTCAATCCTCTCAATATACTGGAGTCTGGAGCAGTACATCATGCTCGTTTTATGGCAAAGAGTATCTACTGTCTAAAGATAATGCTTCTTCTTAATTCGACTAAGCAAATCCTAAAAATGAGCCAGAAGAAGATTAATAAGGTGAAAAAGATGGCAATTTTTATTTCAATTTTCTTTGCTCCTCAATTTCTGAGAGCTGAAAAATCAGATACAGCTGCAATCCAAGTTAGGTTTTTAGCCTTTGATACAAATAATCATAATTAAGCTTTAGCAATTTTATTTGATAAAACAGTGTACCAAAATTGTATTGAAATTTTAACATTGCAGGACCAGCACTTTATCTGGCATATGGTCCACTTGGAGAAGTTTGATGTAGCTGCAGCTTCAGTCTTCAAAAGGTGGGGAAAACACAGCTGGTACTTAGATCTCACTACTGTTATTTTTGCCCTAGCCAATTCAGATCAGTTTGTGTCTGACATTACAAAGGAAGAAATGGCTAGAAAGCTAGTAGAGTATCCTCAAACAAACAAGTATGACTTTGAAAGAAAGAGCGATTCCGGTTTTATTCCACAAAAGACCGAGTTTCTTAAACTCACTGAGCCACCTTCACTCGTTAATTATGTAGGAGCTGAGTAATGGTTAGTGTTTGATATACTTGAACACACTGAAAGACATTTCAAGTGGATTTTTTTATCCTTCGTCTACATGAAATATAGATCCAGATTTTATTGCTTTTCAACTATTTGTTAAAAGCTTGACAGTTGTTTATGATGCAGCGGAGAGAGCCGTAAAAGCAACTCAGGAGATTGTTTCACAGACAAATGACGAGAAGAAACTGCAGAAAATGTTAATAGTCAAGAATAAAATAAAACCAATTTTACGCACTAAAGCAGCATATAAAGAGAGCAAATAAAATAAAAACCAATTTTACGCACTAAAGCAGTATATAAAGAGGCATCTGAACAGCTAACACCTTGAAAAGCTAAGCCTTGCGTACGAATATGAATGTCTTGAGGAGACGAAGGATAAGTTATTACTATCTAATACTAGTGATTTTAACAGTAGCTCGGATATCGTTGATGAAAATGATGTGGTTAAGACTATAGAGGCTGAAAACAAGGTTTTCAATAATGCAGAAACCTAAATCTATATTTTAGGTTACTATTTTTTTCAACGCTAACATTTATTTTTCTGAAGCACAAAATAAGGAAGAGGGGGGGAGGAAAAGGTACGAGAAAAAGTTATCCATACATGCCCCTCCTTGTTTGGGTAAAGAGACATAAATATGTTTTTTATAATATGTTTTATTTTACTAGCCATAAGGAGGTTGTACAAAACTCTTTAGATCTATATAACTGCTGCAACACTTTACTATAAAATCTTGACTGAATCTTGAGCTCGGTATTATGGAGAAGGTTTTATTATTTTTTATAAAAAAAAAATTTGTAGACGTTTTCAAATTTATACAGTTTCAACTTAAATTTGAAAAAAAAAAATTGTTCCCCAAACCCCCCTCCCTCCGTCCATATCACGGTTTCCGAAATCAAGTTGTAGCGAGGTGATCCCATAAAGCTAGGGTGCCAATTTTTTTCAAGCATGCTCTAGACAAATAATTCGTGTGCATGTTTGTCTGTATCTTAGATCTCGAGAAAATTTCAATCTTGTAAAAAGTTATAAATTTTGAAAAACTTTGATTGGGTGTAGCAAGATAAAATTTTTTTTTTTTTGAAAAATCAATATATTATCTTAAAATCACTCACAACTACACATCTTTTTAGCTTGCATACATGTTCCAAAAAAAAAATTTGTAAAATTTGAACACTGCTAATATATATATATATATATATATATATATATATATATATATATATATATATATATATATATATATATATATATATATATATATATATATATATATATATATATATATATATATATATATATATATATATATATATATATATATATATATATATATATATATATATATATATATATATATATATATATATTGATAATTAGGCGGTAGTGGTGTCGTGGTAGAGTTCTCGCTTTATAAGTGAGAGGTTCCGAGTTCGATCCTCACATTTGTTCCTATTAGTAGTGCGCTTAAATTGTTTCTCCGCGCAGCGACCATGTTGGTCATGATTCGTGTTTCAAAGTTGAGAGTAAATTATAACCACATTTAAGTAGCCTCCTTGTATGTAGAAACCTTATCGGCCTTGTGCAGTTGAATTAACATTAAAAAAAAAAAATAAATAACAAAAAAGTTTAGCAATTAGCGCATGTTTGCATTTACTACAATATAATAAATAATATCAATTTCAAATTAACAAAATCTTTTTGATATGCATTCTTTAAAATCTGTTTTCGATTTTCTCGAACAACTAGCAAAATCTTTTGTTTGTGATCCTAAGAGTGTGAGAAGTTTACAAACTTTTTCATAAGTCTAATATTTCTTTAAGAACAATCATTTTTGACACTGAGGTGTTTAATAAAAAAGACAAACGTTTTGTACGAAGTTATTGAATCTGAACCTTTATTTTAGCGTGCTTCCAACCAAATCTTTGTTTCCTTTACTAAGTCTAAAACGACAGTAAAAAAACCCAGCTTTCACATGTAACAAGTGAAAATGAAAATAAAATTCAGAACCAATTATGAGATTATTTTTATCATACTTTTTAAAACTAGAAGTGGCATCACAATAGATAAAAACCACAAGTAGATCAAAATGGAACAATATTTTCTCATTGCTTTTAAAAGTTGAAGTAAATGGCCTTTCGTGGATCTTTGATGTTACCTCTAGTTGTTGATTTGTAAAAATGTTTAATATGCAATTCGAGTATGTAGTGCCAACACAATAAACACAATAACGGTTTCTGAAATATACTTGTTAATATTATAGTTGTACTCTCTTTCTTACCAGTGTTGGTTGCTGTAGCAGCAACACACACACACACAGAATACTGGTCTGAAACTTGGTCAGAATACTTGGTCTGAAACTTCAAAATATTCTAATAAATTTTGAATTAATAGAGCCTGATCAGACGCTTTACTTTTGTCACTTGGAACAATTACTAAGATAAGATCATCTTTGTGTTGAAATTCAAGACTAGTAACAGACACAGCAGTTCTATCTCTGGTATTTGTTTGTTAGATTTCCTTATACAAGCGTGTAACTTGCTAGCAATCAATGTGAAGGACAAGATTTTTTCCTCTCGTTTTCTCAATATAAGTCTGTCTAATTTCATTTCCATGATTTTGAACTAACTCGTAACACTTCAATCTGACTGTTTCTCTGTTAAGCCTAATTTTTTTCATATTTACTTCTAGGTAGGCAAAAATACTTGATATAAACATTGTTTGATCTCGGTACTTACAAAACGGTACTTACTCTGAGAGGAGTTGTAGCTGCATTTAAACCTTGAGTATTTTCTTTATTGACAAGGGTTGAATTGGATTGAAGCATTAGTGATATATTTTGATTCTTTAGCGTTGTTTGGTGTTTTTTATTGATATTCATTCTTATCAGAATAAAAATTAGCATTACCTACCACCAATGCTATATTTGAAAGATATACAATAATATTTAAAAAAAATGAAAATTAAAAAGTACATTTACAGTTTATTCTATAAAGTAATATACAATACACATATGCAATATAAAATTTATTTTTTTCATTGATAAAAATTACTTGATTTAAAAAATTATTTTATTTCCTTTGAATAATTTACATCAGCATTTTACATCAGCATCTCCGTTAGCCTCTATTTAAATTTTTTATCATAATTAGCATACCTATGCTATCACTTTTGTCTATGTTCAATCTTTACTTCATGTTCTTCATCTATATGACTACTTATGAACTGTTTTCCAGCATTTTTCTGATCTTCAAAAAAATGCTAAATCTTCCTCTTTACTCTCTTTGCTTCTTGGCATAACTTGACTGAGTTGTATAAGGTCTTTAATGTTGAGTTTTCCAATGTCAAAAAGAATTTCCATGATAGATTGAAATTCTTTAACTAACTTTTCTTTTGTGTCCTTTTTCGAAACTAATAACTTTCACCTTGGTCATTGATTAGCATTTTTTGTAAAGCTTTACAAATTTTTATAATACTTTATCCTCTCCAATAGTATAGTTTTTAAAACCACAGGACTCCAATATGCTCACTCTTTTTCTTAGAAGACAGATATCTCTATCTGTCTTCTTACTGATAACACGTTATTTTTCCTTTGCATTTCATTTCAAATCTTGAATATAAATTTATGCCTAACATGTTTTGCGTTCTTTTTAATACTTAATTGCATCTTTTTGTCTATATTTTACTTTTCAAAATGATACATTTTGATAAAGTAAAAAAATATTGATGATAAACCAATTTTTCAAAAACTTTAAAACAATGGTTAATTATGAAAGCATCAGATTTATAGCACTAATACTAGTTCTTAAAACAAAATCAAAACAGAATTAATATCACTCAGGGGTGCAAAAAAGAATTAGATGCAGTGTTATGTCTTTTACTGTTTATTTTTTTTTGGTGTGAGATTTCTTCATGTGTGCAATCCCGAATTATAAATAAATTGAAATTCAACATTTTATTTTAAATTTAACTGTATACCAATCAAAAACCATGTGCTACTTTCAAAACTAAGTTATGAATATTATTTTTTACACATTAAATTTGCATTCACTTGCGTTGAGAACAATTTAAAAATAAAATCTTAATAATGATTAGAGTTTAAGATTTTATTTATAGTTAAGCTACTTTGCCAAATTTTATAACCACAGAAATACTTGCTGTATTACTAAAATAATAATAAAAAGTATAATGAACCTATAATCCATAATTTAGTGTATCTATGAAAAAAAAAAGTTTATTGTTTTTGAGTCAATCGTTTTTTGATGACTTGGTTCCGTTGATCAACAAAGTTCTGTTCAGAGGAAATTGTTGTGTGGCAATGGAAACATTGACCTGTGTTTAGAATCTATCTGCAGCATAAAATTCTTAAGTTCGTTGTTTTCGTTAGTTGAACAATTAAAATCCTGAATTTTTATTTACTCCTCTTTGAGATGTATCATAAACAAGTTGTATACTTTTTACAAATTTTACAGCCTGTAATTGGGCATGGTTTCTGCAAAATACAAAAAAACATATAAATAAGATTTATAGAATATATAATAAAGAATAAATTAAAGATTCAATCAAGTTAGCTTATACAAATGTGAAATGCAATTACCAACTAAAATATTATAAGGTAACTGAACTATTATTATTATTATGTAATAACTAATTATATTACAACAAAAAAACAACTTATTATTATGCATATTATGATAATATTATTTGATAATATATAATAATATTTTATCTTAACCGCGAAACCACTAAATCATTTAGTTTTATAGTCAGATTTTTAAAATTAAAATAACCTAAGCTTGTCATTCAAAGATCATGATCAATCTAATCATTTAGAGATCATATTTTTGGTTCTCAAAATTTTGAGTTTTTTCCATTTTATGTATACATCAATTAAATTTATAGCCACATTTTTAAAATTTTATTACTAAATCTTATCATTTGTAGATCATATTTAAAAATCAGCAAAATATTGAGTTTTTACTAAATTCTATATACTGATATCTATTATCTATTTGTTATCTAATGTTAGTATAAGTTAAAGTTTTTTTATTCTAAAAAAGAAGAAAAAGAAATACCGATATCTGTTGATGCAAACTATTGGTAGTTCAGTTTTTTATCAATTTTTCAAAATTTATTTATTAGATCTTAGTTTTGTATATATATATATATATATATATATATATATATATATATATATATATATATATATATATATTATATATATATATATATATATATATATATATATATATATATATATATATATATATATATATATATATATATATATATATATATATATATATATATATATATATATATATATATATATATATATATATATATATATATACATATATATACATATATCTGCGCTTCTAGTGTTAATTTTTTATTCAGCAGGATTATCAGGAAGTTTTTGATGATCCTGCTTTTAATGATTTCTAAACAAGAACCTGAAAGAGAAGCTAAAGTTAGGCATTATGAATAATTTATTACTGCTCTGTTTATTCATAACATTGAATACTCTTTTTGTAAAAAACACTAATATATTTGACATTTGACATGTATTTCAAGTACATTTTATCTTTTTTTGTTATTGTTTTACTAGTTTAATAATTCTATTTAGAAAATTACGAGAGAAACGCGCTCCAAAAATACTGATAATTCTATGCATAAATCTGATGTCTACCCTTTTTTTATTTGTTGCTTTTGTGGAACGAACCAACTCTCCTGATTTGTGCAAGATTGTTGCTTCAATGTTGCAGTTTTTTATTTTGTCAACATTCTTCTGGATGGCAGTTGAAGGTTTCAATTTATATAGAATGTTTGTAATAGTGTTTAGCAATTCAACCAATTCACGTTATTTTTTATTGAAGTGTTCTTTATTTGCATGTGGTATGTATATACTTTTTTGCCTTTTTGAATTTTTTTTTTTGATTACAACATTAAAAAAAATATATATTTTTTTTAGGCATACCTCTAATATTTACTATAGCAACTGCTGCTAGTAAAACCTATTACCTTAAAAATCAAACTGAAGTCAATCCCAAAATGTAAGAAAAAATTAATTTTTTTAATTGCATTGTATATATAAAAAATTTACCAAATTCTTATCCAGGTAATTTTTGTGTTTTTCAGATATACCTCCTCCTCCTTTTTTTTCTTGAAATAACTGAAATGTTTTTTTCATTAAAAATGCCTATGGGGGCACAATCGATCACGATTACAGCCTAAGAGGGCTTAATCAACAACTTGGAATATACTTCCGTCTAATGCAGCCTAGGTAGTTTCAACAAAAGCTTTCAAAGATTACATTGATGGACAAAGAAAAATAACACACAATGCGTGTCTTTAAGCTGTCATTATAGTAGTGCCTGCCCTCAAAATTTCCGTTTATTCAAGGGGAAAAAATAAAGTAATCGCTCAAAATCATCACTGGTAAAGATTTCCTTAAAGTAAGCAAATATTCTTTTAAGAAAATAGTTTACCTCAAAATAATTTAGTTACAAAAAAAAAATTAAACAATTTCCCATAATAAAAAGTAATTTCCTTAATGTAAATAAATTATCAAAGGGAATTTTTCCAGATATTAGAAAATATAGTTGAAGCTATTTTCCCTGCCTTTAAGTAAAGTAATTAAGGAAATATTTCCAGAAATTGAGAAATTTAGAATATATATTTAATGGAGTATATTTAAAGGAAATACTTCTGCTATTAAGGAATGTAATTAGGCGCATATTTTGTGGTTTCAAATAACAACTTTAAAAAATTGCTTCCCTTTAAAACAAAATTGCAACATATGGCAACGCTAAATGACACAAGGACATAACGCTAAATAATTTTGAAACATGTACCAAAAGCAACATTACAAATTAGTTGCACAATGGATAACGCCAAAGTTTTTTAAATACAATCAATTAAAAAGCATTAAATGAATTCATACAGTTCAGAAATCACATTTAATTTTTCTACATTAAAAAAAAATGTGCTATTAGGTAACGCATTAGCAATTGTTACTTACATGTAGCAATGCCTCAATCCAAAAAGTTATAAAAAGAATAGCACAAAAGCTTCAAATAATAATTATATCAAACGCATTAAATAATTTCGAAAATAATGAATAAATGTCAAATCATCAAAACATTAAATTGGCTTCTACAGTAATGACCAGGGATGCTTTCCTACAGGTTCGCACCGGTTCGTGCGAACCGTTAGATGTAAATTCTATGGTTCGTGCAAACCGGCTATTAAAACATTCGCCCATATTTGGAATACGTAGCTCCTATCTGGAATCCTTATCGTCAGTATGATAAAGATAAACTAGAGTGTGTCCAACAAAGAGCTCCTAGAATTAAAATTTTGAAAAAATACAGTTATGAAGAGAGGTTAAAGAAGTTGGATTTACTATTCTTGGAGAACAGAAAAAGAAGAAGTGATTTGATACAAATGTTCAAATATTAGAAAGGGTACGATATTATAAATTTTTAAGCAAAACCCGAAATGCTAGATAACGAATATAAAACTAGAGGTCACAATAGTAAACTAAGGAGGCAATAGACAGGAAATATAAAACGACATAATTTTTTCACAAATAGGGTAGTAAACGACTGGAACAAGAAACAATAGACGCAGTCAGTATCAACCAGTTCAAAAAAAAATTGGATGAACATTTTAAATACTAACTTTTATTATGTTTGTATGTTAGTGTGTTACAGCTGTTAAAGTTACAAACTCTACGTAGTTTGGACTCATCACTCTTTAAGTGTACAGCACTATTATATTATATTATATTAAAATAAGCGAAAATTTTTACTTTGGCAAAGAAAAACTATTTAAATAAAATATATTTACCATTTGGTGCAATTTTATATAAACAATTTGAATATTTTATCTAGTTTTCATTGCGATTCTAATTTTTTGCTTTATAAAAATCTTTCAGTTAATTAGTCCTCCCCTCTCCTTTTTATTTGATATGTAAATTACCAGTGTTTTCATTGGTTGATTTTAAAGTTAACGCGCGTTTTTTCCGGACCGTTAGTAACAGTTCAGAAATGCTAACATTAACATGCACGTGTAGCGTCAAAAATATGTATTTGTAACAGTTGCTGAGGTTTTTAACATTGTTTAAATATCCATTGTATTTTTTCTAGATGCATTACTACTTTAATTAAAATTTGGAATTACTTAACTAAATTATTTTTATTTATAATAGCTTGATTATTTGTTAATCAAACAATAAATTATAATTGTAACTAACTATAAATGTAACTTAAATGAGTGTTATAAAAGTAACAACACTGTAGAGTTATTACTTTGGTAGTCATAAATTTATTGTTTTGTTTTTCATAACATTTTCACTAACAAATTAAAGTTTATTCGCCTTAAATCCGTAAACTTCGTGGTTTTCCATAAAGTGAAACTTTGAAGACCAGATAATTTCACAAATATCGCAAATCGTGATGCCTTAATTCAATCCTTGAGTGTCAAATTGCTAACATGTATTTCTGATAATTTTTCTTTAATAAAAATATAGCTTTGTTTTAAAGTTATTTGGTTACTGGTCTGATATTCACCTTTTTATGAATTTTTAAATACCTATTTTATTTTTTGTAGATAAAGAGACAAAATATGTTAACCACATATTTCTCGAAAAAAATAAGAGAGGAAACATCAGTAAGTAATGATAGCAGGTCGACTATAACAGAGGTAGAAGCAGTTTCAAGAACTTTACAGGAAGAAATACTAGAGATTCCTTGTTTCCAAAATGAGGACAATAATAATTTACCAAGCTGTGAGAATGCAAAACAGTTGAAGGAGTTTAAAATTAAATATGATGGGCTGTTTGTCAGTAATCAGAAATTGGGATGTGAGTATTGTTTAAAAATGGAATCAAAACTAATATCTCAGGAATAGAAAAAATGTAACGTTACGACATCAGGGAAAGACAAAATAGTGCAACAAGCATCTTTAAGAAAAAAAATGAGTGAACATTTTGTATCAAAAGCACACAAACTAGCTGTTGAACATTCCAAGATACTTAAAAAACAAACTTTAACAGCATGCATCGATAAGATGAACGAAAAATTTATTAGTTCTACTACAAGAATCTTCAACACTGTTTACATTCTAGCGGAAAGATATCGTCCGTTTTCAGACATAGAAAGTGTAATAGCGCTTCAAGTAAAAAACGGGTTGGAGATGGGAACCGGACTTCATTCTCGACATAGTGCAAGTAAGATAGTAGAGCATATCGCGCAAGAAACTTAAAAAGAATTGTTTATATTAATTATTAAGAATAATTTAAAAATTTGGACTGTTATTGATGAAGCTTCCACCATTTCCAGTGAATCAATGCTTATAGTTTTCATCAAAGTAGAATCTTCTATAGTAGCATCTTCTGAAATATCCTCAATAATATTCGTAGATATTGTGGAACTTGACGCACAAGATGCAAATACTATTTTTCAAAGTTTGTTGGGTGTATTACTTGCTGTTAGATTTGATACAAATTATTTAAAACTGGATTTAATAGGATTCTGTTCTGACGGTGCTAGCGTAATGGTTGGTTGTAAATCTGGAGTCAGCGTACAAATAAAAGAGATGTTTCTAAATGTTATTATTTGGCACTGTCTCAATCACCGCCTACAACTTGTTTTAGATGATTCCATAAAAGATATCAAACAGATTAATTATTTTAAAGTTTTCATGGACAAAATATATTGTATTTTTCATCAATCTAATAAAAACCAAAACGAAATGAATGATGTTTCCCAGGAGCTTAGTTTGGATATAATTAAGATTGGAAGAGTGTTAGGACCAAGATATGCTGCGTGCAGCCTAAGATCTGCACTTGCTGTATGGCAGAGCTACCCTGCTTTGTATACGTTGTTCTCTTCTAACCAAAAAATGTCTGGAATGGCAAAACGACTACAAAACAAATGTTTTCTAGTAGATTTAGCTCTAATGATTGACATCCTACAGGAGTGCTCTCTACAATCTAATGCCCTTCAAGCTAGAAATATAAATGTTGCCAGGGGAGATCAACTGATTAGAAGAACAATTAACGCTTTTCAAATGCTCAAAGATCGTCGCGGTCATTACGAAAAAAAAGTGGATGAAGTTATAAACTCTGAAGCATTCAAAAACATTATCTTCGTCGAAAATAGAATTTATGGAAATCTTCCCAGAGATTCCCTTATTGACAGCATCATAAAAAATATGAAACTAAGATTGATGGATTTTTCTCATCTCGGATCAAATAGTAACAAAAAAAATATTGATAATAGCATTATTTATGAACAAGCCAATTTGCAAGAGCCGAGCATATGGAAAATTGAAGATATTGTAGTTCCGTGGATAGAAGCCAAAAATAATTTTAATAAATTTTGAAAAATTTTTAACTTTGATATCGATAAGAATGATTTCCGTGATTATGTAGAAAATGTAATAAACAATGGCCATCAACAAATTAGTGAAATTGCAGAAAACATTCAAAAAGCGAAAAATATGGTTAATACGGTTGCCGTTAGCAGTGCTGAAGCAGAACAAGGATTTTCATTGATGAGCATCATAACTGCTGATATAAGAGCCAGATTAACAGTGCAGACAGTATCAAATTTGATGACATTAAACTTAGTTGGTTGTCCATTGGAAAATTGGAACGCAGTTTCCTATGTAAAAACTTGATTGAGGAACCATAACTCGGCAGATGATATTTTTCAAATTTTTTAAAAAATAAAAAAAGAATATACTGAAAATCAATTAGCTATTTGAAAATATTTTAAATAATATAATTACTTTATAACAATAATATTTACTAATATATGAAATTTCACAATCTTTTGTTAAGTTCAGTTTCTTCTTATGTAAATTTTGTATCTCTTGAAATGAATGAATAAAATAAAAGTGATTTTCACCTCGTTGAATTATTTTTTTATTTTATTTTATCCTATTACATTATTGTTGCAAAGAATATGAACGATAGTTAAATATTCTTGACTTATTATGGTTGTCAGAGTCTGCCACTCTGACAACCATAATATTTTGATGGAAA